TTCTATCATACCCTTGCCTGCTACCCTTCTTCCTCAATATGTTGAGTCTTAGCCTGCCCCAGGTGCTGTAGGCACAGGGAATCTAGCAGTGAAATCAACATGAACAGCCCTTCCCTCATTGAGGTTACTTTCCATTGAGGGGAAAATGGACAATAAAAATGAATAAGTAAAATACACACTCCAGATGGTAACCAGGTTCCTCTCTCCATGGAATTCTCCAGACAAGAATACTAGAGTGGGTTGCCATTTCCTTCTCCAGGAGATCTTTCCGACCCAGGGATTGAACCCGCATCTCCCTCGTTGCAGGCAAATTCTTTACTGTCTTTGCCACCAAATCATTGGTTAATGAGTGCTAAGGAGACCATAAATCAGGGAAGGGAAGTAGGGAGTGGTAGGGGACAGCTGCATCTTTAAGTCAGGTGGCCCAAGGAAGACTTCATTTAGGACACATTTTAGTTCAAAGGAGGTGGTCTCTCTACTTCTGCTGCTTTTGTTCTACTCTGCCTGGCTGATCCTGATTTACCTCTCCCTCTGCACACCTGGAGGGGTCATCTTCCCAAATCACTTGATATGTTCTGTTCCTTATTGCCCTTAGGATAAACGCAGCACTCCTGCTGTGGTACAAGTTGCTTCTGAATGTGAGACCTGCTTCTAACATTGCAATGCCAGGTGGGGCAGGGGTACAAATGGAAACCTACACACCCTGTGTCTAAATACTGAAAATTAATGCAAGCTAATGAGCTGTTAGCAAAAAATGTGTTCGACCCTTCTACCTTGACAAAAATATTTTCATAGCAACCTAGGCTATGAAACTTCAGATTCATATTTGTTGGACTCCTCTGTGTTCCTTGCTAGAGCTTGGCAGTTGCAGGGAGCTCTGCCTTAGTTCATCCTCTGCCCCTCTTCTCTGCCTGCCGCTTAGGTCTGTCTCCACTGTGGAGGAGCCCCCTACATGCATATGGACATCCTGGCTGACACATCCACATTTTAGCCACATCCTTGAAAATAGTAGCTCTTTGCCACCCCTCAGGCCAAGGTGCTCACACTGGTAGTGTTCTTTACCCCCTGGGGATGGAACCTGGGAGAGAGGCACATATGAACTCAGGAAGTAGGTTTAAGGGCCCTTTGAGCTGAAAATTTTAGGATTTCAGGGGCAAGGAATTTGAAGGGTCTAGACAAGGGTCTAGAAAAGGGTAGAGGTAGCCTGGACTCTATGTGGCAAGTCTCCTCGTTCTCTGGGGGGAGGGTATGGAAAAGGAGGGTCAGAGCCTAGAATAGGGCTCTCTGAGGCCCTCAGACCACACTGTCTCACCATGCTGTCTCTTACCCCTGTGCCTAAACCAAAGTGAATTACTTGAACTTTCTGAATTTGCCATGATCTTTCACTTCTGTGCTTTTGTGATTTTTGAAAACTGTAGAATGAAGTCATACACTTGGATTCCTTGCCCTAATTTCCCCCATCTCCTAATCTGGTCCCCTCATCAATGACCCTTCACTCCACACCCAGTCACAAAAGCACCACACGTAATGGCACTGGTAGGTGTGATCTGATATAGTAACCTGAGTATGGGCTTTGGAGTCAGTGGTCCTGGTTTTGACTCTGTGCTGGGTACTTACCAGTCACGTAACCTTAGGCGCATTCTCTGCCTCAGTGTCATCATCTCTTATATGATGATAACCATGCCAAGTTTATAGGTCATTGTGAGGATAAAATGAAATAACATGGATTAAGTGTCTAACCACTGTCCCTGGCACAATAAGCGTGTGATAAAAAGTTCCTTACCCTCCCCTGGCTATGCTTTTTGCTTCAAGCCAAACATAGAAAGCACTTTGGTAGATTAGCTATTTTCACAGAGAGATGCCAATTAGGTTGAAAGTGAAAGTGTTAGTTGCTCAGTCCTGTCTGACTCTTTGTGACCCCGTGAACTGTAGCCCACCAGGCTCCTCTGTCCTTGGGATTCTCCAGGCAAGAATACTGGAGTGGGTCGCCATTCCCTTCTCCAGGGGATCTTCCCATCCCAGGGATTGAACCCAGGTCTCCCACACTGCGGGCAGATTTTTTACAGTCTGAGCCACCAGGGAAGCCCAATTAGGTTATCTCTCAGCATTCAGCCTCTGGGTCTCTTTCTCCTCCTGAGCTAGTGAGAACCTCCTAGAGAGTATTAGTACCTGATTTCTCTTTTAGTTGTCAGAAATTATTCGTTAACAGTGTGTGAGCTATTACTGGTGACCACATTTAGATCTGGGATAGTCAAACTCCAGCTCTTGGTAGCAGCACTGACTCTTTGTTGTTAGGGATGAGGTTTTCTCCTGTCTACATAATTATGGTAACAGCAGTGGAGCCTGAGGAGCTGGTAAATAAGGAAGTCAGTCATCTCTAATGCAAGGGAAGGAAAGACCCCCAATTACTGTGCAATGCCTGGCCTAAGTGGGCATGCAGCAAATGTGAGTCAGACTAGGGCTTCCCTGGTAGCTCAGCTGGTAAAGAATCTGCCTGAAATGCAGGAGACTCCTGGTTCAGTTCCTGGGTTGGGAAGATCTCCTGGAGAAGGGAACAACTACCCACTCCAGTATTCTTGCCTGGAGAATTCCATGGACTGTATAATCCATGGGGTTGCAAAGAGTTGGACATGACCAAGTGACTTCCCCTTGCAAATGAAGCTAAGCTCAATAAGAAATGCCTTTAAACTGAAATAGAGAAATAGTTAAATGATCAGGTAAGTCACAGAAGAAATTCTTATAGGTCAATAAGTTATAGCCAGTAAGCAAATAAATGCAAATATAAATGTAATACAATATTTTTCTTAGAAAATTGACAAAGATTTAAAAAATTCAGTAATCAGTGCTGATGAGGGTACAGTAGTGGGGGCAGGGGGTACACTTATGCATTGCTGGTATACATGTAAATTGATGGGCCCTTCTGTAAAGCTGTAATGAGAATGATTAAATAAACTATGGTGTAGTTATAAGATGGATTATGTGTCATTAAGTAAGTAAGTGTTAGTCAGTCAGTCATGCCTGACTCTTTGCAAACCCATGGACTTCAGCCCACCAGGCTCCTGTGTCCATGAGATTTTCCAGGCAAGGATACTGGTGTGGGTTGTCATTTCCTTCTCCAGGGGATCTTCCCAACCCAGGGACTGAACCCGGTAACTGAGCTACAAAGGAAGCCATTAAATGTAACCATTTCAAAAAAGTCCGAGACATGAGAAAAATTCTATGTTACAGTGAAAGGTAGAACACTATAGGGTATGAAAATTACATGCACAAAAAAGGTTGGAAGGAAATAGGCCCGAGTATTATACATCCCTATCATTAGTATCTCTTATACAAATCTCTGAATATTTTAACTTTTCTATGATTAGCAGGTGTTTTCTTACAATGGGAAAGAAATTCTGCAATTTAAGTAAAAGGTACATTGCTTTCATACAATAATATAGAATTACGCTGGCCATTTACTGACTCAGTAAATGTCAGAGTAGGAGAAGCGGTAACTGCTTTCCTTTGGGATATAGGATTTGCGGAGAAGCAGAAGGCTCAACTGTCTTCCTTACTGAGTCTAATGCTTTGTGTCAACAAGAAGAAATGGAAGGAGTGTCTCTCCTGCCGGGGGAGTTTCCTGTATAACTGGGAGGCCCAATAAGCTGCCTTATGCTTGAGACATTCACACAATTGCAAGAGCTGTGGCCTCTCCAAAAGTCTGACATTTTTATCACTGGTTGAGATTTGAGAGTGAAGCCTGAAACAGAATTTTGTTTCCATTTGTAGACTAAATCCTCCAGTTGTGACCTTAACTCCAGTAGCTATAAGTGATTGGTAGCTGGTGGTACATGACTGTGGAGCATGCAATATACACAGAGCTTTAAACGAGTACCGTCTGGGTATAGGATATTAAGACAAGCACTCTAAGGAAATGCTTCATCAGTATTTATACAAACATGTGAATTAACCAAAGTCTATTTTGAGTTAGAAAATAAATACATAGATTGAATAAACCAAGAAGGACAGAAGGAAAGCCCCCTAACTACCAAAACATAGAATTTCTTCCAAACTGAGATATTATAACTGTTTTGACTTTCTTTTTTCTTTAAATTATTAGGTGTTATAAAGTCCAAGTGTTTAAATAAGTTTGTAGCATCATCTTGATTCACTTAGTCTGATTAGTTTTCAAGTTGGTCACTGTCATTTCATCTAGCGTTGATTTCAAGAGCAGTTCCCCTTTCTTAACTTCCTGAAATGTGCCGTTTTATACCCGACTCTTATAACAGAAGTGCGTGAGACAATGGGACCACATCCACTGTTCTAATCAGTCCCACCTTTGGCCAATTAAGAATAATTAGCATGACCCAACAATTTGTCAAAATTGACATACAATTTGAACTACAAATAATATGTCTTAAATACAGTGGTGTTATCAATACCTTGTGTACCATCACTAATCAATCGATAGAATCAGCCTAGATCCCTTTTTTTTGAAAAAAGATTCTTTGGCCCAGGTTCCGTACGGTGGTAATGCATTCCAGTGGCTACCACTGATGTGGCCTGGGGAAGGATAGCACTCATGCCAAGGACTTTCCATTTTCAGATCTAAGGGCAGCAGCATCCCTCTCTTTAGAGAGCTTGTACATCATTCAAATGGAGAAAAGATGATTCATCCCCAGAAGCAAGAGAGGGAGACAAGAATTAAAAGAAACTCCAACACAATAGTGAATGCCGAAACTATAAATGTCCCAACAAGTGCAATTGACTACAGGGAAGGCTGAGTTATTTGCTAAGTGTTGGGAGAAGCCAGATGCCCTTGGTCAAATGAGGTTAATCGCAAAAGATTTTCTGAGGCAGTACATTTTGAGTTACATTGGAAGACAGCCAGGAGACCTGGCGTGAAGTTGGAAGGTTGGTCCAGATTAAGAGGAATGCAGGTTTCCGGATGCTTTTTGACTGTGTACTCCAAAGTCACAGTGGCCCAGAGTGACCATGCCTGTCCTCTGACCTCCCCACAGCGAGGACGTGTGCAAACGTGGCTTCACCGTCATCATCGACATGCGGGGCTCCAAGTGGGACCTCATCAAGCCCCTCCTCAAGACGCTGCAAGAAGCCTTTCCCGCTGAGATCCATGTGGCCCTCATCATCAAACCTGATAACTTCTGGCAGAAACAGAAGACCAACTTTGGCAGCTCCAAATTCATCTTTGAGGTGAGGCTGACCTCTCTCTTAGCTCCTGTTTCCTCCCCTTTCTGACACCCACCCATTTCTCACCTGCCTTTCTCCACCACCCTAAAATCCCCAACATGTCAGGGACTGGCTGGCAATTCAGGATTCCTGGGTCACTGTGGCCTTCCCAGTGAGACTCTCAGAAGGGAGGAGAGGCTCATAAGATTGTCCCAAGGGCACAGAGCCTTTAAGCAGTCCTGTGTCTGCTGGTGAGTGGAAGTCAGAGGAATTGTTTCTGGGGGCAACTTTGGAATTTGGGTCAAATGCCTTAAAAAGAGTTTTTATCTACTGATCTTTTAATTCTCCTTCTAAGAAAATGTTTTTAATATAAAAATTAAAAAAACAAAAAGGTGAAGAACTAATGATAATTATAAACAAAAAAATTTCTACAGGGATGTTCATCATACTGTTTTTTGCAGTAATATACATACTTATGTATACACACATATTTACACGTATACATATATATACAAACGTGTATGTATAGCTTGTATCCTAAATATCCATTGATTTTGGCTACATTAATACACAAGTACTATGAGGCCATTAAAATATTTAGAACAATAATGTCATTCAAAAATGTGCATTATATATTTTTCTAAAAACAAGTTATAAGACAGTATTAGCACTATAGTTTAAAATTGGTTTTTAAGTGTATACTATATGGAGAAGAAGACTGAGAAATACATGAAAACGGTAACAGTGCTTTATGTGAGATGGCTGGATGAGTGATTTTATTTTCATGTTTTTCTACTTTCTTTTGAGAATTTTGTATTACTTTTACACTTAGAAAACATGTTGTTTTTTAACTAGATTTTTCTAGAGGCCATATGAGTCCCCTGAGAGCCTTTAATGACAGCATATTAAATCAATGATTTAGGAATCTTTGTTCCAGCCAAATCCGAGCTGTTCCCCCTTTCTGGGAACTTTGCCCTCATCTGCAAGGGGATGAACCCTGAGTACAGTATGTGTGCATGTTGGAAAGCAGAGCTGCCCTTAATCTAGCAGTAACTTCCCATTCCAGAGGCTTGGCCCTAGGGGCTGGGAGCACTTGTGTGTATGGGGGGNGGGGGGGGGGGGCGGGGCGGGGCCCAGTAGGCTGCAATTTGATCACAGCAATGAGACCAGCTGAGAGGCAGTTCTCTGTGTAAATAACATGAGAAATTTGACTTGGTGTAAAAACACTTAACTCTCATCTTCCCCAGCACTAGGAGTCCTATAGGGAAATAAATACTTTGTGTATTTTAGGTTTGTTTATATACAGAAGCAATAACAACAGGCCTATAAATTTATTAGTTGAAACTACTAGAAACAATCTTTCCAACAAGTCTTAAAACTTGTGCTTCAGTGTAGCTGCCCAGCATTTCCCATCTCCCTGCACCCGCTTCACCCCAAGTTGAGCAAGCTGGTCTTTACCTCCTTAACCATGAAGAACAGGAGAGAGAGCTGGGAGCTTCCCACTTGGAAGAATGTTTATAAAGTAGTGTTTCACAAAGAGCAGATGAGGTATTTAGCATAGACCGAGGCAGTAAGTGCTAAGAGATAAGAGTCCAGGCATGTTCAATGGCAGATACTTAAAGAAAAATTGGTGAATGAAATCACGGGAGACTTCCTGGAAGTGGTAAACTTAGGGCCAAATTCAAAGGGGGCAAGTGCTCTAAAAGAGGGCTTCTTGGAGTTTAATGCACAGAGTCCCCTGGGGATCTTGTTAGATGCAGATTCTGACCCAGCAAGTCTAGGTGGAGCCTGAGATCCTGGATTTCTAACAAGCCCCCACGTGGTGCCAGTGCTGCTGGCTCCAGGGCTGCATTTTGAGTAGCAGGGATTTGGATCTGCAGATTTGGTTGCACGTTAGGAGCTTTTAAAACTACCCATGCCCAAGTTCCAGTCCAGGCCAACTAGATGAGGGTTTCTAGGGACAGGGCTTTGAGCATCTGTTATTGTAAACTTGCCAAAGGACTCAGATGAGCAGTCCAGTTTCAGAGCCCCTTTCTGTGTCTTTGGAAGGAGATAGAGGGAAAAGGGAGAAGAGGAGGAGATGCTCAAAGATCAGCTAGATAGAAGGGCATGAACTGCATTTAAGGGCTTCAGAAAGGATGCAACCTTGAGGTCATCCCGATGAGTGCTAACAGGGACTGAGCATGCGCTGGCTCCGTGCCCTAGGCACTTTACACACAGCCCATTATTATCTCCGTTATACTGTGGAAAGAACAGGAGCTCTACAAACTTAGTTTACCTAGTTTACACAATTGTTAATTGTACGGTTGGACCTTGGATCTAGATATTCTCTCGTTGCCTCTCCTTCTCCAGGAAACAGAATCAGGTAATCCTGTAGGAAGGAAAAGATCTTTCTTGGTAAATTAGGGTCGTTGCCTGTGCCATCACTTGCTGCTCTGCGTCCCAGAAACAAACCTTCTCCACTCTGCTCTCTAAGAGCTTGTAGGGGGCTCAGAGAAAATGGGGGGCCCAGACTCCCTGTCCCCAAGCCCTGTCTGTTCTCTGCACCAGAGAAGGGCATCTCCTCGTGGGCAGAGATAGGAAGATCAACTCTGAGACCCTTACAGCTCAAGACTGACCCATAGTGTTTAATCCAACCATGAGGATAGGATCCTGAGTTTTAAAGCTATTGAGAACTAGGCCCCTGGAACTAGACTCAGTCTATTCTCCCAGCTTCTAGTATCCTGTTGTGGTAGACTTGGGAAGAGGAAAATGATAGGACAGTAGGGACATAAAGACAGTCATTCCTTTAGTGGCAAATGGTGGCAGGTGAAGAGACGTTTTGAACCAATCAGCTAGTCTGTTGAAACTACTGACCTTAGCTGATTGTGACATCTGATCAGGAGGCTGCACATTCTCCCACTTGCCCTTTTCCAGGCAGGGTCTGGTCATTTTCTGGACTTATCTTGGCCTTTCCCCTTGACTTTCTCTTTTCTGCCCACGGCTGCCCTGGGGGTCTTCCCCCGACTTGCCCCTGCATCACTGAGTCTCCCTCTCTGTGTCTGCCCATCCCAGACAAGCATGGTGTCCGTGGAGGGCCTCACAAAGCTGGTGGACCCCTCCCAGCTGACGGAGGAGTTCGATGGCTCCTTAGACTACAACCACGAGGAGTGGATCGAGCTGCGGCTCTCCTTGGAGGAGTTCTTCAACAGTGCCGTACACCTGCTCTCACGCCTTGAAGACCTGCAGGAGATGCTGGCCCGGAAGGAGTTCCCCGTGGATGTGGAGGGCTCGAGGCGGCTAATTGATGAACACACACAGCTGAAGAAGAAGGTGCTGAAGGCCCCTGTGGAGGAGCTGGACCGGGAGGGGCAGCGGCTGCTACAGTGCATCCGCTGCAGTGATGGCTTCTCAGGGCGCAACTGCATCCCAGGCAGTGCCGACTTCCAGAGCCTGGTGCCCAAGATCACCAGTCTTCTGGACAAGCTGCACTCCACCCGGCAGCACCTGCACCAGATGTGGCATGTGCGCAAGCTCAAGCTAGACCAGTGCTTCCAGCTGCGGCTCTTCGAGCAGGATGCTGAAAAGGTAGGAGGGTGCTGGCCAAACCTGAGGAGTGGGGCTGGGCTGGGGGGCACACACAGATACTTCTAGTCCAGCTTTTTAAAGCCCCCCTTGTGTAGTATTTATTATGTATCAGATACTGCTCTGTACACCATGTGTAAATTAACCCATTTTAATCTGTCAAGAGTCCTACAAGGTAGAAGTGTTATCATCATCTCATTTTACAGATGAAGAAACTGAGAAGCTAAATATCTTGGCCAAACTAGGAGGTGCAGCGTGGCTGCAGACTCCACACTTTTGCTCTGTTGGACACTGTCCCTCTTGGGGCGTGCTGTTAAATGTTCAAGCTGGCTGAGCAACAGAAGTAACAATGCTGTTACCAGCTGCAACATGACTTAATGATTATTGCCCTGCAGTATACTTGACTATTGACAAAGCACTTCTGTATACAGAGTCTCATTTAGTCTATACAGTCCTTTGGTCCTTTGAGTGGGTGATGGTGGATGTTCTTTGATCTTGGGGCTACAATGGTAGCTTGACATAGGAATCTAGCTCTCTTCCATTTGAAGTCCAGGGCTCTCTTCCTGCCATACCACTTTTTTTCTGGAGGTTTTTCCTCACTGCTGCACATTTTCTGAAGCAAGATATTTTTTCCAGCAGTAAATTTTCAAAGCTTTCCCCTTATCAGTGAAAAAGGAAAATACCCTATAGTGCTTCTTTGCTAAGGATGCAAAATATCTTCTCTAGATGCTCTCTGAGCTAAACAAGAGTTGACTGTTGCACATACTTTTAAGAGGAGTGAAAGGGGCTCTCCTATCAATTTTCTGAGAATAACATATTTAAATACACAATATCACTAATAGGAACACCATGACTCAGTAACCTGTGAATCTTACAGACAGTGTCTGATATAATGGTTTTGTATCTTTTAAGAACCTATACTGAAAATGTCTCTAGGTATTTTAAGTGATGAAATCAAGATACAAAACTATATAATTATGATCATAGTTTATATAATAAGTGTGCCTATATAGGTATAGCTAGAAAAACATTCACCATTAATAGTTTTTATTTACAGGGGCAAGGATTATGATTAATTTTAATCTCTCTGTGTAAGATTTCTGTGCTTTCCAATCTTTTATAATTAATAATCAGATGAAAATCAATATGTATAATTTTAAAAGAGTGCATGACCCCTTTATACAACAGACCTTTTGAACATCATTTAAGCCAGAGTTTGGAAGAGATAGGAGTTCCTTGCACAACTTTTGGAGTTTCAGAGTTTCCTCTGACCTTCTTGAGGACTCTTGACCCAGTGGCCAGGCAGCCTGAGTCTGACTCTAGCCTGGCCTGGGCCTCAGGTTTGGAGCACTTGGACTGCAGAACCCCCTGCTCATATCCAAGTGAGAAGAGACACCAGGTCAGGAGCCAACTACTCTGTAAAGCCAGAGGCATGTTTTTTTGGCCTCTGTGACCAGTGTTGGAAAGGTCTGAAGCATTTCATTTTTACTTGAGATTTTTCCTGCTCTGGCACAGGAGATCTGCTTTGCATCCTGGCCTGGGTGCTTGTTTCAGGGAGGTAGGGGACTTGAGTCTGCCTAGATGTGTTTGAGTTTGAGGCACTTCATGGCATCCTTCAAGTTCAGGAAATGGAAAGCCAAAGGGCCCAGACAGTGCCCATTTACAAAACAAAACAGCATAACATGCCTTACCCCAGAAGCCACCAGGTAAGGAAGGCTGACCTAGAGTCAGCCTAGTACCAGTCAGCCAAGCAGTAATGCTGCCTCACAATTCATGCTCACAGAATTGTATGGTGTATTATTATTTTTAAGTCATATGGAGGAAATGGAAGCTCAGAGAGATACAGTGGCTTCCCTAAGATCACACTGCCAGTTGAACAGAGCCAATATTGTGTCTGTCTCCAAAGCCTACCCAAGCTCTTATCCAATAACCCTGCTCTCCTGCCACTCCTGGGGCCTGCCTTATGCTGTCACTGAACTCAACCTGTTAGGCCCTGAGTCCCCTGGCCCAGGATGACTCTGGGGAAAGTCTCAAGTCCCACCTTCTAATGCTCATTAGGTTAAGCCAGGGCTCTTAACCTTTCTGTGTTCTGGATCCCTTTGGTCTAGTGAAGACTATGGACTGCTTTTCAGAAAAATATTTGTAAATGTACAAAATTACATATGGGCTTGGAAAATAATTATTGAAATATACTTATTAAAATTTTTAAAGTATAGCAACTTAGGTACTTCTTTAGGAGCGTGTTAAACAACAAGATCGACTTGAAATCTTATAACTACCATAATTTTGTAGTAGTGATGACCATAAATGATGTTTGAGGGCAACAACCCTGATGCGATATGAAAATGAGTATGTTTCTATTGATGCTAGAGGCCCGAGTATTGATAACATTAATGAAGTTGGATGCCTTTGTTTATAATTGAAGAGAATGCGATATTTTAGTTAGAGGTGGGTAAAAATAAAGGCATATTTTTTTTTTCCTATTGAAGTCTACGGTCCCTGAATTCTGTATGTGGACTCTGTTAGGATCCATGCTCATACCTTAAAGAGAAGTGTATTTGCTTGCATGTTTGTGCACGTGTGTGTGTGTGTGTGTGTGTGTAGAGGAGGAGAGGAGGAATATCAGAAAAACAACGGAGGGAGTGAAAGGCTGATGGGGAGAAGGCAGCCCAGGAATATTTTGATATTGAGTCAGTGGTGAAAATGCTGCTCAGGCTTGACCTAGCTGCCACAGAAATGTGCTGGGTGAGGGACAGGGGAGAAAAATAATCCTTTTAAATTGCTTCAAGATTAATTTAAAATATCTCTGCAGAACTAAGTGCCTCAGTCCTTGACTTATTTGGTGTTTTGGAAAGAGGGTGAGGAGGATGGTGGTTTGGGTAAGAGTTGTGTGAGCAGATTCACATCTAAACAAGGGCCTGAGGAAATAGTTACTGCATGAGCCAGATCTTAGCCTTCTCTCTGGTGGGAGGCTTGTTGGAGGCCTCTGATTCCAGATCTGGGAAGCTCTTGGCAATTGGAGGAGTCTGGTGATCACCCAGCTTCTATTTTTATAAAGGGGTGGGCGCAGTCTTCTCTCTGGCCCTGTGGGTGACAGCTTGTTTCCCAGGCCTTCAATAATGGCAGCACTTCCCATTTTCCAGCTGACCTTGAGAAGTGAAACCACCCCTCACCACCTTCCCTTGACCTCTGCAATGACCCCATGCGTCCCTCATCTCGGGGGTGGCCAGGAAGGAGCCATTTTCTCTGCCAATTAAGCATTTAGGGAGGAGGGACTCTGTTTTACAGATAATTCATAAGGCAGGCCACCCATTCATTTAATAAACTTCTGCTGAGCAGCTGTCATGAGCCCAAAACAAGGCACTTGGATAAAGATGAGTGAGCCAGAATTTCTGTCTTTCAGCAGCAGATTGTCATCAAGTCTTATTTATTACTACTTATATCTGCTGTGTGCACCCCACTGTCCTAGGCACAGCCTCTGTGATAAAGGAGTTCTTAGAAAAGGGAAATATTGCAGCTCAGAAATGACAGGAAAACCTTAATGAGCAAGTTGTGGGAGGGCTGGGTAATTCAGAGGTGATTCAAGTAACACAGAATGCATCTTGTTGGAAGATGAGCAACACTGCCTGGGCCCTGTGCCCTCTGGCCTGTAACTAATGGGCCCGTCCTCCACTGTGTTCACAGAACATGCTTCAATCGCTCCTCATTAGCCAGGCACAGATTACAACTCTCTTTGCAGCCCTGTTTCACAGCTAGTTGCCCCACTAGCTGCAGTGGATCCTATGTGATGAAGGTGTCTGCCCTGCAATCACATCCCATTACTGGAGAGAAAGGAGGCCTCTTCCCCATTAGGGGGCAGTTTGTTTCTTAAGAGTCATTAAGTAGACTCATGGTAGATGTCTCCTTGGAAAAGAGAAGGGTGGGTACAGCTCAGTGGAGTGTCTTCCTTAGCTCCCCACTTTTCCTGGATGCCTAGGGTACATCTTAGAATAGTAGAATTGGAAGAAACCTTGAGATACAAGAGTTTACCTTCCATGCACTATAGGAAACCCAGCCTTGTCATCTTGCCACCCGCCATTATGACCTCTTGCTGCCCATATATGTGCTGATGCTGATCATAGCTATCAGAAAATACCAAAGCTGCTGCACCAGATGCCTGCTGGAAGATTCCCTACAATCTTCCAGTCTTTGTAGGGAAAGGGAAGGGCTCTAGGAGTTGCTTGTATATTTTTGAGATTAATCCTTTGTCTGTTGCTTCGTTTGCTATTATTTTCTCCCAATCTGAGGGCTGTCTTTTCACCTTGCTTATAGTTTCCTTTGTTGTGCAAAAGCTTTTAAGTTTCATTAGGT